ACAAAATGAGATCACATAAATGAAGTGATTTGCAGTTGCTAAAGGCAGGCTTATGACAGCATTATATGGGACTTGTCCACATTCAAACCACTGAATGTAACTTACATTAGAGGGTAGTGTTCACCTTGCTTTCTCTGAAGTCAGTTATGTTAATAATGTTAACAAGAGGAGGGAAGGGAGCAGGCATTTAACCCACTTAATTGTTTTTAACCACAATCAGTGTGCTTGTTATGGATCTTATTTGGCAACACACTAAAACAAGGTCTTTAACGACAATGCCCTTTGTCTTATTCTAGGCAGCTTGCATACTTAAAGGAAGTAAAACTGAATTTATTTCAAAGTGGACTATCACTCAGATGTCTCATTTTAGGCTGCCTGGTTCACCCACAACCTCTCACCCCACCTTCCCGAGCTGAGCAAGGCGTATTGGCAGGTGGGCTTTTTGTGGTGGAAAGAATTGACCAGCAATTCATTCTAGGACGTGAAATCTGGCTGAGCAAGAGTTCCACCTGAAAGCAGAAGACAGAAGAGGCCAGATGGCAGGGCCTCTGAAGGAGGCGGAGGGAAAGGCAGCCTCTGGGAGCCACTTCAGACTCTGCCAGTGTGGACTGGACGTGGGAAACTCACTGCCTCCCACCAAGGCTGTCCTCTAGCTCCTGTAATGCTGAAGTCGAGCTGGGGCCTGGCTGGGATCCTGAAATCACAGGCAGACTGGGCAACCTGCGAGCTGCTGCAATGATTGCTGCACTCTGAGCCCTCCAGCCAGTTTCTGTGTGTGGCTGTGCTTGGTAGCTGGGAAGCACAGGATTCTGACAAGCTGGGATGTAGGTGTTATCAGCTCCACTTTTGGAGTAAACATGAAGCCTTGAAAAATTACATGGTTTGTCATAACTCACATACCTATCATCAGGACCACACACTTCTCCCCCATCCAGCATCCAGCCTGCATCAACCAACACTCTCCTCTGAGTCATCAGTCTCTCCTCTCCTCTCCTCTCCTCTCCTCCTCTCTCCTCTCCTCTCCTCTC